GCGGGTGGGCCTCCGGCCCGGCGGGGCGGAGCGGGGCCCGGGGGGGCTGGCGGGGGCTGGAAACTGGCAGAGGAAGAGTCCTGCAGGGAGGACGTGACCCGTGTGTGTCCCAAGCACACCTGGAGCAACAACCTGGCCGTGCTCGAGTGCCTGCAGGACGTGAGGGAGGTGAGGAGGCGGGACGGGAGGGCCAGGCCTGGTGTGGGCCCGAGGGTGTCGCCGGCCTCGGAAGCCGCTGGCGGCGGGCTGGCCCTCGCCCCTTGAGCCTGCCGCTCACTCCCCGGCGCGTTCCGGGCCGAGGACCCCACCCCCATGCCTTCCTTCCCCAGCCCTTATTTCTCTCCCTGTTGCGGGGGGTCTGGGACAAGACCTTGGCTCCTGGCCGCAATCGTGAAGGCCCAGAGCAGGTTTCTATTTGCTCCTGTCTTTTGTGTGATGCTCTGTGCACAGTGGCTCCCCGCGGAAGACCAGTTTAGGGTTTTGTCATCAGTTTCGACCTGGACGATTCGTACAATCTATTGAAACATGAAAAATGGTTGGCGTACTTAAGTTGTTAAACAATGATCTGATGTTTTTTTAGCTGTAGATAACGTTTAGGTAACTCGGGTTCTATCGATTTTCATGTGCATTGTGGTCAACAGTAGAATTTACTGTCTCCGCCCCCCCATTCTTTTGTAATTCTCAAATTCTTATTATTTTCCGTATGGTTTTCGTTTTTCTTCACTTCCTTTGGACAGTTTGTATCACTACAAAACCTCATGTCTGAGCCATTACTCCTAGAGATTTGGAACCCCAAAGCTTGAAAAGTTAGGGCAGCATTAGAAGCTGTAAGATGTATACAATGTTTTGTGATTGGGTTGTTGGGTCTTGCCTTTCTGATGTCTGAATATGATATGAAATCTGGATGTGATGTTGCTTGATGTGATTCATTGATCAATCTTCTGTAGATATAATGCTTCAGACAAAAGTGCATATTTGACAATTCTCAAAGTTTGGGAGCAAATCTGTTCAGAATACTTTTTCCTTTTTTTCATGAATTATTTTATTTTATTATTTTTTTCTTTTTTTGGAGAGATTTTCACTATAGGGCATGTGTGCTCACAAGACAGACAGAGAGAGACAGAGAGACAGAAAGTGAGAAATCACCCCTCAGGGGGGATGGCCACTCCGCAATCCCTTCTCCTTCATTCTCCTCTCAGGATCTTGGGCACACACGTACACGCGCCTGGCGGGAGTTTAAGCCAGGTCCAAGACTTGAACCGCGGTCGACTACATGGGAGTCCAGCGACAGACCGCCATTATGCTAACTGCTGGTCCCTATTTTATGTATTGTTTGACCAGAGAGGGTGGGAAAAAAAAGTGAGAAAGCCTGCCACCAGGTCCAGGACTCGAATCATGGTTGGCCATGTGTGGAGTCCAGCATCTCAACCACCTGCCAGCCCCCAGAATACTTTTTTCAAAAGTGTAGGTATACAGAATTAGCACCAAGGGTTGAGAAATAGAATAAAGCTGCTGCTCCATAGTGTTTCATTTGGGAATTTAGAATGATCTAGGCCGTTCAGGGCGGTGGAAGACCACTGACGTATAGAAATTTGCTACACCTGGCATTTTCTCTTTTTCCCCACTGTGATATTTGCTGTAGTATTCAATACATAAGTAATTCAGAAGAGGAAAAGATATACATATTCAGGAGACAGAAAAGCTTGTAGAGCTGCCAGAATATAGGGCTATACATGACTTATCACCTACAGCTGGGAGACCTTGTTGTTCATTCTCTTTTTTTTAAAGTTTATTCCCTTATTCTTTTCCACATGCAAGAGAGACAGACGGACAAGTACCCTGGGCAGGGTCTTGATGTTATGATCCACCTGCCAGCTCCCCCAGCCAGCCCTGGATCATGACCATCATACTCTGGGCGGTCTCTAGACACTACTCAAAACCTTCCCTTGTAGATTAGCCTATTAGAGCTTCACATTTTACTGATGTGCCAGCATCCGGTCTCCGTTCCCTGTTACTATTCATTCTTCAGCTTCTCCTCTACTAGATACTTAAGATTCTTCACTCTGTCACATACTTTTTGGAATTTTCTATTTGGTCTTTGTGAAGAATCTGTAATAGATGTTGTTTCCTCAAATTAGAATCCTAGTATTGGTCACTAACCCATTATTAGTGGTTTGTGGCAGAAACAGGATGTTAAAAGGCAAAGAAGCAAAAAGTGTCCTGTTTCAGGAACACATATCTCTGTGTGTGTTAGGGACATTTGGAAACCTCCACTGACAAGCAGTCTTCCTTTGTCATGCATGTAGAAGTGTGTAGAGGCATACATAGTCCATAAATAATTTAGATTTGGGAACTAGCAGTTGGCATAATGGCTATGTCGCTGGACTCCCATGTAGTCAACCATGGTTCGAGTCCCGGACCAGATGGCTTAAACTCACATCGGGTGCGTATGCCTGCATGCCCAAGGTACCAAGAGGAGAATGGAGAAGGGATTACAGCATGGCCATCCTCCCTGGGGAGTGGTTTTTTGCTTTCTGTTTCTCTGTCTTTCTGGCAAGTGCGTGCTCCCGCTGACGCCGGGCTGCCGCTTCCCTTGCTTGGTCTGTGCTGCCCTCGCCCCTTGAGCCTGCCGCTCACTCCCCGGCGCGTTCCGGGCCGAGGACCCCACCCCCATGCCTTCCTTCCCCAGCCCTTATTTCTCTCCCTGTTGCGGGGGGTCTGGGACAAGACCTTGGCTCCTGGCCGCAATCGTGAAGGCCCAGAGCAGGTTTCTATTTGCTCCTGTCTTTTGTGTGATGCTCTGTGCACAGTGGCTCCCCGCGGAAGACCAGTTTAGGGTTTTGTCATCAGTTTCGACCTGGACGATTTGTACAATCTATTGAAACATGAAAAATGGTTGGCGTACTTAAGTTGTTAAACAATGATCTGATGTTTTTTTAGCTGTAGATAACGTTTAGGTAACTCGGGTTCTATCGATTTTCATGTGCATTGTGGTCAACAGTAGAATTTACTGTCTCCGCCCCCCCATTCTTTTGTAATTCTCAAATTCTTATTATTTTCCGTATGGTTTTCGTTTTTCTTCACTTCCTTTGGACAGTTTGTATCACTACAAAACCTCATGTCTGAGCCATTACTCCTAGAGATTTGGAACCCCAAAGCTTGAAAAGTTAGGGCAGCATTAGAAGCTGTAAGATGTATACAATGTTTTGTGATTGGGTTGTTGGGTCTTGCCTTTCTGATGTCTGAATATGATATGAAATCTGGATGTGATGTTGCTTGATGTGATTCATTGATCAATCTTCTGTAGATATAATGCTTCAGACAAAAGTGCATATTTGACAATTCTCAAAGTTTGGGAGCAAATCTGTTCAGAATACTTTTTCCTTTTTTTCATGAATTATTTTATTTTATTATTTTTTTCTTTTTTTGGAGAGATTTTCACTATAGGGCATGTGTGCTCACAAGACAGACAGAGAGAGACAGAGAGACAGAAAGTGAGAAATCACCCCTCAGGGGGGATGGCCACTCCGCAATCCCTTCTCCTTCATTCTCCTCTCAGGATCTTGGGCACACACGTACACGCGCCTGGCGGGAGTTTAAGCCAGGTCCAAGACTTGAACCGCGGTCGACTACATGGGAGTCCAGCGACAGACCGCCATTATGCTAACTGCTGGTCCCTATTTTATGTATTGTTTGACCAGAGAGGGTGGGAAAAAAAAGTGAGAAAGCCTGCCACCAGGTCCAGGACTCGAATCATGGTTGGCCATGTGTGGAGTCCAGCATCTCAACCACCTGCCAGCCCCCAGAATACTTTTTTCAAAAGTGTAGGTATACAGAATTAGCACCAAGGGTTGAGAAATAGAATAAAGCTGCTGCTCCATAGTGTTTCATTTGGGAATTTAGAATGATCTAGGCCGTTCAGGGCGGTGGAAGACCACTGACGTATAGAAATTTGCTACACCTGGCATTTTCTCTTTTTCCCCACTGTGATATTTGCTGTAGTATTCAATACATAAGTAATTCAGAAGAGGAAAAGATATACATATTCAGGAGACAGAAAAGCTTGTAGAGCTGCCAGAATATAGGGCTATACATGACTTATCACCTACAGCTGGGAGACCTTGTTGTTCATTCTCTTTTTTTTAAAGTTTATTCCCTTATTCTTTTCCACATGCAAGAGAGACAGACGGACAAGTACCCTGGGCAGGGTCTTGATGTTATGATCCACCTGCCAGCTCCCCCAGCCAGCCCTGGATCATGACCATCATACTCTGGGCGGTCTCTAGACACTACTCAAAACCTTCCCTTGTAGATTAGCCTATTAGAGCTTCACATTTTACTGATGTGCCAGCATCCGGTCTCCGTTCCCTGTTACTATTCATTCTTCAGCTTCTCCTCTACTAGATACTTAAGATTCTTCACTCTGTCACATACTTTTTGGAATTTTCTATTTGGTCTTTGTGAAGAATCTGTAATAGATGTTGTTTCCTCAAATTAGAATCCTAGTATTGGTCACTAACCCATTATTAGTGGTTTGTGGCAGAAACAGGATGTTAAAAGGCAAAGAAGCAAAAAGTGTCCTGTTTCAGGAACACATATCTCTGTGTGTGTTAGGGACATTTGGAAACCTCCACTGACAAGCAGTCTTCCTTTGTCATGCATGTAGAAGTGTGTAGAGGCATACATAGTCCATAAATAATTTAGATTTGGGAACTAGCAGTTGGCATAATGGCTATGTCGCTGGACTCCCATGTAGTCAACCATGGTTCGAGTCCCGGACCAGATGGCTTAAACTCACATCGGGTGCGTATGCCTGCATGCCCAAGGTACCAAGAGGAGAATGGAGAAGGGATTACAGCATGGCCATCCTCCCTGGGGAGTGGTTTTTTGCTTTCTGTTTCTCTGTCTTTCTGGCAAGTGCGTGCTCCCTCTAGCAAAGATCTCTCCCAAAAAAAAAAATTTAGATTTGACTGATTTTAGAATCTGTTTAATTTAGCAGGTACTATCTTTCTTGCATTATTTGGTGTAAAGATGATTACACTGACCTGAAAATTTAGTCACAGCTCTACCAACATCTAAGATTCCCAGCAAAAATATTTTCAGTGATTCTATTTTTCTTTCTTCCTGGGCGTGATATAAAATCTGAGGGTAAGTCCAGGTCCTATATT